TTTAAAAATTGAGTAATAACCTGCTAATAAATAAATATTAACGCTTTCGAATAACAATTTAGAACAAGAGAGAACGCTATAGTCGAGTGCCTCGACTATTAGATACCCGTTACTCAGCTAAACAACTTAATATAAATATGCCTTCTTGTATGTTTTTCGACGCTCGAATTAGCACCTTGGCCAGCTGTTCCAAATTCATCCATTAGATGGCGCTACGGGCCATGAAAGGCGGAAATGTAGGCGCTAGCCAGGCTTAAGCGTTTAATGGGTTTTTGGGCGTTAGAGTGGGCGTGGCAAACTTTTATTAGGCCAATCGATAGGTATTGACGAAACAAATACATATCAATTAAAATTTTCATAATAGCATCAAAACTGTGGCCACAGCTTGTGGCTTGTGGGCGTCAGAGGGGGCGTGGCACCATTTTGAAACAAACTTGCGCTGCGTAGGAACTCCTAAAATCTACATGCAAAATGCCAATCTTCTAGCTTTTATAGTTTCCGAGATCTCAGCGTTCATACGGACGGACAGACAGACGGACATGGCTAGTTCGACTCGGCTAGTGATCCTGAACAAGAATATATATACTTTATAGGGTCGGAAACGTTTCCTTTTACATGTTACATACTTTTGCACGAATACAATATACCCTTTTACTCTACGAGTAACGGGTATAACTATACTGACTCTGTTGCTTTTAATCTGAATGAATGACGCCATAATGAATAAATCTTTAAGAACTTACAAATCCTTATCTCAGCAGCGTGTGGCTTAGGTCAAGTCTTGGCAGTACAATGGATTACACAATACAACAAATTATATTTTATAATAAAACTTTACCGCTATAAGGGTGTTATTTAAAATTTCATATATTTAAAATTATATGTTTCTTCTTTCCCTCAAAAATTGATTTCTAAAATATTTTCCCTCGCGTTAAATATGACTCAAGTAATTTGCCATCTGAACTGTTTAATTTTATCCAAATAATAGAAGTATTTATCCAATAATATCCAAATTACAAGGTAAATACAAAAAAAGGTGCAATAGTCTTTAAATGGCACTTCAAATATGTAATAATGTCAAGATCTCTGTTGTCCAGTGTTGTTCGCCGATGTGGTAAAGCTCATAATGTCCGGTTCGGAGAGACTCCCATTCGGCAGTTGTTCAGTTCTCAAGAGCGCTTCGAATAAAACAGTCAAGACTCTGTGCACGCCCTAAGAATAGGGGATCATGTTTTTAATCTCGACGCGCTTTCAATTATCCTTGTCCTTCCTTATTTGTGTATTTTTGTCGGTGAGTGAGGCCAGAAGTGTTTCGAATGACTACCAGGATCAGTCGGATCGCGAAAAAAAGATCACTGATGACACGGCGGAGTATCTCAGATCCTATGGCGCGAAGATGAAGTCCTATATGAACTTTAGTGTCGAACCCTGCGATGATTTCTACGAGTACGCCTGCGGAAACTGGAAACAGCCGCAGAGAAGCAATCACAAGGAGAACAATATGCATAGCATCGACTATTCTCTGGCGGTTATTACAGAGCAGCTGATGACCAGAACTCAATTGGCAGAGGCACTAAACGTTTCCGACGAACTGCTTGTTACACAACGCTTCTATAACGCTTGCCTAACAGCCGTGGTCTCTCCGCTTCCGGCCGCTGATCCCGCTTATCTATCGCTTATCAGGTCGGTGGGGATGTTTCCCTGCCGTCGACGGAGCTGCCTGGAACGCCTCCAAGTTCAGCTGGTTCAACATGAGCGCTCATCTCACCAACTACGGTGTCAAGGGGCTGATCAACGATAACATCCTGCATGATTACCCCTTCGATCCGTACTTTAAATTGCCGGATTGGGGATACGACCATATCGTCCATAAGGACATCATCGACAATTCCAGTTCGCGGGCCTACAAATTGAACGAGGACCGCATGCGCGGCTACCTGCAGGCCTTCAATCTCACGGAGGAAAAAATCTCCGCCGTGGTCGCCGGCGTCTTTGACTTTTGGCGCGAGGCACTCTCTATTGAAGATAAGTTTGAGGGTAATGAGGATATGTGTATAGATATGCATGAGGTGCCACGATTTAGTCAATGGAGGAGCTATTTCGAAATCGCCTGGAATGGCCTACACTTCGATGAGGAAGAATATTATTACTGCGACTATTACTACGACGAGCTAGACAAGGTTTGTGCCAAACATCAGGAGGCGGTGGCCAACTATCTGGCTATGCTGCTCCTGTACCGCATGGAGAGTTCTGTGAAGGACGAAAAATACCATAAAGAGCACTGCCTGATGCAGGTCCAGACCACAATGGTCCATCTCATTAGCAAACTCTACATGGCGGTGAGTTAAAAATTATTTGAAGATTGAGCAAGGGTTTCCAGAATTTGTTCCTTTGTAGATAACGTCTCCTGGCTACTACCAACAGCTGAAAAAACATTTATTTGATTTATAAACACACAACAATCGGATAAATATTGTAAAAATGAATGAATGAACTTGTAAAAATGAAGATAAAAGCTATTGTAAAAACTATTAAAATGCATCTTTCCAAATCTTATTTTTTTAGGCATATCATGATCAGGGTAAAAGCGCGTGCCATAGGAACAATAGGGTGAAATCGGTTAAAATTTGATGTTTTTTAGGATATTTTGCGCAGTGTGTAAGCTATTGACATCAATTTTTCCAAGTCTTATTTATTTACGCATATCTTGATCAGGGTAAAAGCGCTTGCCGATCGGACGTCTATATCTTATAGCTTGGTAAAAGCTGTGAAAATATACATTTTTTTCTATTTTTATATGACGTTTATGCAGTATAAAAGCTATTGACATGAAACTATGAAAATCTAATTTTAGCAATTTCGGCAAAGTCTTTGTATTAAAACTTCGGCCTGCCGAAGTTAGCTTCCGTCCTCGTTTTATTTGCGGGGTCAGCACATTTGTGGCGCCATCTGCTGGGGCTTATATAATTAAAAATTGAATAACAGAGTAACGAGTATCTGATAGTCATTTTATTTATTCAGAACTGAATCGAATTTCGTCAGAACTATCTACTTGCCTAATCCATTTACATTTGTTCGCAGGAGTACTTCAGCGAGGAAACACACTCCGAGATCTCCGGCTTGGTGAAGGAGTTGCGGAAAACCCTGCGTCAAGAGCTGGAGAATGCCGAGTGGCTGGATACGGAGACGCGGCGAGAGGCGTTGCTTAAGGAGGCCAATATCACGGCGCATATTGGTAGCTGTAAGGACGAGCAGCTTACCGACACCCTCATCCGCCAAATCAGGAATCTCTCCGTTGTCGAGGACAGCTTTGCCCAGACCATGACCAATCTGCGTAAATTTGGAGTCAGTCTGCGACGGTACAATGGCCTGCACTATAAAGAAATACCCGCGGATTCGAAGCCACTGGAGTTGCTCGTTGGGATGCAGCCGAATGCCTTCTACTTCAACATGGATAACTCGATCTACATAATGGCAGGTCTCCTGCATCCGCCCGTATATCACCGTTCCTGGCCCGACTCCCTTAAATTTGGCACCCTGGGCTACCTGGTAGGTCACGAGTTGACCCACGGTTTTGATACGCTGGGCTCCACCTTTGACGGCACTGGCCAGGAGCGCAATTGGTGGTCAAAGAAATCTGAGGCTGTGTTCCAAGAACGCGCACAGTGCTATGTGGATCACTTCAGCAACTACTTGATACCGGAGATCAATCATAAGATCAAAGGCAACGAGACCAAGGATGAAAATATCGCAGATGCCGGTGGATTGAGAGAGGCCCTCGCCGCCTACAGGAGCCACATGAAGCAGCTCCAAAAGAGCGGCGAGAATAACGAGACTTTGACACCCCAAAACGAGCAAATGCCCGGCCTCGACCTCTCGCCAGAACAACTTTTCTTCCTCGGATTTGCACAGCTTTGGTGCGCCAACTACGAGCAGGAGGATTACTGGGAGGAGTTGAAGAATGAGCACACCAGCGACAAGTATCGGGTCCTGGGGGCCGTTTCCAATAATGAGGACTTCGCCGAGGTCTACAACTGCCCTCTGGGAAGTGCCATGCATCCAAAGTCTGAAAAATGTCGCTTGTGGTAATGTGAAGTCAGCTCGATATTTACACAAAGCCATAATACACAAATGGAAATAAAAAACGATTAAAGAAAATAAACTAAAAACATGCAGCGTCTTGATTCATATTTAAAATACATTTTTTTTGAAAGTCTTAAGAAAAATAAGTCTTCAAAAATATTATTAATGGCAATGCTAATCACATAATCACATACCGCCTTCAAGGGTGTTAGAAAGTTCGTACTTGAAAAGTGGTTTCCAACCCAAATGGGTTTCCTTTTTACTTACTTTTTAAATTACTTATTTACCTTCAGTCATTTTAGAAATTGAGTGATAACCTACTAACAAATAAATATTGACGCTTTCGAATAACAATTCAAAAATAAACGGACTCTGTTGCTTTTAATCTGAATGAATGACGCCCTAATGAATCAATCTTAAAGAACTTACAAATCCTTATCTCATCAGCGTGTGGCTTAGGTCAAGTCTTGGCAGTGCAATCGATTACACAATACAACAAAAAGATTAATTTTAATAATATGAATTTACAACTGGTATATACAATGTCATGTATTTAAAATTATACGCTTTTTTAAGGCTGCCCTCGCTCAAAAATTAATATTATATTATATGTAGGTACATATTTTATTATATTTCTAAAATATTTTCTTTCTCGTTAAATATGGCTCAATTTCTTTTTAGAAACCCTTTAGGTTATATGCCATGTGAACTGTTTAAATTTTTTTCAAATAAAAAACTTTGGAAAAGTGATTTTACAAGTTTTCCAACTGCACTTTAAACATCACTTTAATGATAATCATTATAACATGTCATGTTGACCAGTGTTGTTCGCCGATATGGTTGCGAATAAAGCTCATTATGTCCGGTTCGGAGAGACTCTGATTCGGCAGTTGTTCAGTTCTCAATCGTGCTCTGAATAAAACAGTCAAGCTAGTTGCTTGAATTTCAAATAATCTGGGTCATTTAATGATAATATATATTATTTAAAAAACTCTGTGCACGCCCTAAGAATAGGGCATCATGTTTTTAATCTCGACGCGATTTCAATTATCCTTGTGCATCCTAATTAGTCTATTTTTGTCGGTGAGTGAAGCCAGAAGTGTTTCAAATGAGTCCCAGGATCAGTCGGATCGTGAAAACAAGATCACCGATGACACGGAGGAGTATCTCAGATCCTATGGCGCGAAGATGAAGTCCTATATGAACTTTAGTGTCGAACCCTGCGATGATTTCTATGAGTACGCCTGCGGAAACTGGAAGCAGCCGCGGAGAAGCAACCACAAGGAGAGTAATCTGCTGAGCATCGTCTATTCTCTGGCGGCTGTGACAGAGCAGCTGATAACCAGGACTCAATTGGCGGAGGCGCTTAACGTGTCCTCCGAATTGCTGGTTACACAACGCTTCTATAACGCATGCCTCACAGCCTTGATCTTTCCGCTGCCGGCCGCTGATCCCGCTTATCTATCGCTTATCAGGTCAGTGGGTGGTTTCCCCGCCGTCGACGGAGCTGCCTGGAACGCCTCCAAATTCAGCTGGTTCAACATGAGCGCCCATCTCACCAACTACGGTGTCAAAGGGCTAATAAACGACAACATCCTGCCTATGTACCCCTTCGATCCGTACTTTAAAGGGCCGGATTTGGGCTACGACCATCCCGTCCATACGGACAACATCGCCAATTCCAGTTCGCGGGCCTACAAATTGAACGAGGACCGCATGCGCGGCTACCTGCAGGCCTTCAATCTCACGGAGGAAAAAATCTCCGCCGTGGTCGCCGGCGTCTTTGACTTTTGGCGCGAGGCACTCTCTATTGAAGATAAGTTTGAGGGTAATGACGATATGTGTAAAAAAATTACCGAGATGCACGAGGTGCCACAATTTAGTCAATGGAGGAGCTATTTCGAAATCGCCTGGAATGGCCTACACTTCAATGAGGAAGAATCTTATTACTGCGACTATTACTACGACGAGCTAGACAAGGTGTGTGCCAAACATCAGGAGGCGGTGGCCAACTATCTGGCTATGCTGCTCCTGTACCGCATGGACAGTTCTCTGAAGGACGAAAAGTACCATAAGGAGCATTGCCTGATGCAGGTCCAGTCCACAATGGCTCATCTCATTAACAAACTTTACATGGCGGTGAGTTGAAAACAAAATAGTTATATCATTAATAAGGTCTCCTGGCCATTAACAATTGATAACATTTTCCACATTATTATTATACCCTTGCAGAGGGTTTTATAATTTTGGTCAAAAGTGTGCAACGCAGTGAAGGAGACATCTCCGACCCTATAAAGTATATATATTCTTGATCAGGATCACCTCCTGAGTTGATATAGCCATGTCCGTCTGTCCGTCTGTCTGCTTCTACGCAAACTAGTCTCTCAGTTTTAAAGATATCAAATTGAAACTTTGCACACACCCTTCTTTCCTTTGCACGCAGTATATATGTCGGAACGGCCGGGATCGGCCGACTATATCCTATAGCTGCCATATAACTGATTGATCTGAAATGCCATAACTTTGGTGTTTGTAAAGTTAGAAAGTTGGGATTTTCTATGGATTTTATATTTAGCCAATCAATCCGACCTATCAAATTTCATAAGGATCGGCCGACTATATCCTATAGCTGCCATATAACTGAACGATTGGAAATGCCATTACTTTGGTGTTTTTAAAGTTAGGAAGTTGGGATTTTTTATGAGTATTAAGAATGCCTCATATTAATAATTTTGGAGAATATAATTTACAGAGTATTCTGCAAGGGTATATCAACTTCGGCTCCTTTCTTGTTTTTATGTATATATAGTTTACTAAAATTTCTAAATATTTTATTATATTATACAATTCATATGCATTAACTCCAGCTAACTCCGTCCGTCTGTCCACATAACGTCGAAATCTCGGGATCTAAACGAGCTGGGAATTAAGCATGCAGATTCTTTAGATGCATATGTACGTAGTGTAAACTTATTTCAAAAGTTGGCCCGCCTACTCTTAACACACAAAATTTTAAAAATCGAAGAATTGTTTCAGTTTAACAATGTCAATATATTATATATAATGGGTCTTATATTTAGAATTCAATCGAATATGTTAAGAACGATCTAATTACCTAATCCACTTACATTTGTTTGCAGGAGCACTTCAGCGAGGAAACGCATTCCGAGATCTACGGCATGGTGAAGGAGTTGCGCAAAACCCTGCGTCAAGAGCTGGAGAATGCCGAGTGGCTGGATACGGAGACGCGGCAAGAGGCGCTGCTCAAGGAGGCCAGAATCACGACACAGATTGGTAGCTATAAGGACGAGCAGCTTACCGACACACTGATTCGCCAGATTGGGAATCTCTCCGTGGTCGAGGACAGCTTTGCCCAGACCATGATCAATCTGCGTAAATTTGGAGTCAGTCAGCGACGGTACAATGGCCTGCATTACGAAGAAATACCCTCGGACTCGAAGCCACTGGAGTTGTTCGTGGGGATGCAGGTGAATGCCTTCTACTACATCCTAGATAACTCGATCTACGTTATGGCTGGTATCCTGCAACCGCCCGCGTTTCACCACTCCTGGCCTGATTCCCTAAAGTTTGGCGTACTGGGCTACCTGGTAGGTCACGAGTTGACCCACGGTTTTGATACGGTGGGCTCCACCTATGACGGCACTGGGGAAAGGCGCAATTGGTGGTCAAAGAAATCTGAGGCTGTGTTCCAAGAACGCGCGCAGTGCTATGTGGATCACTTCAGCAACTATTTGATACCGGAGATCAATCATAAGATCAAAGGCAACGAGACCAAGGATGAAAATATTGCAGATGCCGGTGGATTGAGGGAGGCCCTCGCCGCCTACAGGAGCCACATGAAGCAGCTCCAAAAGAAGGGCGAGAATAACGAGACTTTGACACCCCAAAACGAGCAGATGCCCGGGCTCGACCTCTCGCCAGAACAACTTTTCTTCCTCGGATTTGCACAGCTTTGGTGCGCCAACTACGAGCAGGAGGATTACTGGGAGGAGTTGAAGAATGAGCACACCAGCGACAAGTATCGGGTCCTGGGGGCCGTTTCCAATAATGAGGACTTCGCCGAGGTCTACAACTGCCCTCTGGGAAGTGCCATGCATCCAAAGGCTGAAACATGTCGCTTGTGGTAATGTGAAGTCTACTTCAAAAAATTTAATAAAAAAGAAGATATATAAATGTTGGCTATTTTTAAATGTTTCGAATATTTTAAAGTATTTTATTTTTAAAGGTTGTTAACTAACGCTTAAAAGATTAAAGATTAAACCTTTTTTAAATGAGATAAATTCCCATAAATAAAGATACCAATGTTTTTTGAACTGTGAATACATATTAAAAATGGTATGCCCAAAAACCACTTCATGTATATTCACGTTTTCTTTAAACTTACTTACTCTACTTAATCTTATTAGTTAACCATTAGAATAGCATTGAAGCCACAAAATATTCTAGAAAAACGGTCTTAGCAGCATCATATATTTATTACTGACTTGGGTTAGTGAGCAACGTGTTCTGAGGATTTAAAGGCGTTTGGTCCCAGGTAATTCTCGACCAGCAGTGATTTATATCGCCGCAGGTGGACGCTGAGTCCTTCCTCACGTTCATTGGCTGAGAGGATTGAGACGCGAGCCACGACCAGGTGGGAGGGATTCGTCTGGCTGAAGCCCCTGATCACATCGATGTCATCGCCGATTTCGAGCTTGAATTGAAATCTTTTTAATGGGGTTTCTATCCATGTACACAAGTATGCATTCCTCACCTGTGCACTCTTCTTGGGCAGTTTTTTTCCATTGACTCGAATTTTGCTCTCATAGAAATTGAGTTCAACTTTGCTAGGGAAGGAGATTCATCGTGGTTGTTAGGAGGACTTAAAGGTTTTTTGGGGAGAATCCTTACTTTCTCGCCATGCCCAGGCCAGCTTTCAGCAGGAGATCCGCACGTAGCGAGTTCACCTTCGTCTTGACCACCTTGGAGTCCCTTTCGTCCTTGAAATCCTCATCATCATCATCGTCGCTGTCCAAATCATCAGACGCTCGCGAGGATTTCTTGTCGTATTTCCATGCAGTGCTGCTTGTGTGCAAAGAAGCCTGAAGACCTGGTTTCGCTGGTAATTTAAGCAGACTGCTGGTAGGAATTGAAGACGTGAGTCTTCTTCCTATCCTAGTTATTTGACGAAAACTGCGGAGCATTTTGTGTGCGGGCGCCTTAAAAATTACGATAACAAACTGAGTAACATAACCTTAAAACTACAGCTGATGCGGCCGCGTTGCCAACTAACTTTAGGATTTGCTAGTTGCCTTCTTATTTCGCTTCTTTTTGGGTTTCTTGTCTGGATTGGGACGTATTTGGTGCACAGTAAGGGGTCGATAGATTTGCAGATCCCTGTCCAAAAAGTCGTCCTCAACTGGCTCCACTTCCATAGGATCTAAGCTGGGGGATTTCTCCTTTTCTACTGGTTTTTGATTGATTTCTTCTTTCTCCTCCTTGCTCTTCCCTTTCATGGCCAATTTTTTAAGAGCATTGTCTAGTTTTTCCGACTCCACCAGGACATCTACGCGGTCTAGCTTTACAGAGGGTGTATATGAGGAAAAGGATATAAAATCATAGTCCCAATCTTTTTTTTCAGCAGCGGGAAGCGGCAGCTTCTTTTCCTCTTCAATTGGGTTGATTACTACAAGTTTTTTCTTGGGCTTCTTGTGGATTTTAGCGACTATGTTTTTGGCAGGCGGGGGAGTCCTTTTTCTGGCAATAACCCACTGTTCCAACTCAACACTTATAGGTCTTAAATCCAAAGGTAAAGCCAAGGAAAGTGCTCGTACTCCAAAGATTTCCATAGTAAACTCCTCCAGTTTAGGCTGTGCATAAATGGGTGCAGTGGGCACCTTGACGGATGCACTGGTGGCTATCAAACGGATGAGATGAGCTGGTCGCAGGCTCAAAGAAACCAGCAAACACGAGAAACGCTGGGAATTAATGGCTCGCAGGGAACTTTCCAGACCAAGATGTATTCCAAATCGAGTGGCAAAGGATTTGATTCCTGTCTCGCTGCTTTCCATAGCCTTTTTAAAAATCATCCCAAGCTGCATTACATCTACATCTGGCAAAATTGGACTAAAAGGTAACAATTACAACCTGTTGATTGAGTTTTAATTTATATTGGGTCGGTATACCTGTGATGTTTATATGGATTGGCTAAAACTGTTCGCAATTTGGGGAGTAATTTCTTCTTGCCCTTGACTTCTTTCTGTTTTATGCTGGCCAAACTCATATTTAATGTAATTCCGTGAAAATAGTCAACAAAAATGTGTTTTGCTTTTTGCCAGTGTGCCTGCCTTTCTTATTCTAAAATATACCATTAATATATACATATGCCGTCTTCCTTAATAATACTTAAAATACTTATACTGTCATACCACCTTCAAATAAAACGACCGCTTTGATTTAAATTTAATAATGATCTTTATTTTTATCAAACATTAGTACCAGTAAAGTTCAGGCTCTGTGTCTGAAGAATACTTCATTTTTCTTGGTCTTTGCCTTACGTCATCCTCTACGAGATTTAATTTTCTTATAGTTGTGGTTTTTTCTTGAGGTTTATTTAGCTCAGTTGTTGTTAAATAAAATCCTGAAGTGGTTGAAGAAGTCGATGTTTCCACTTCTGTACTATCAATCGCTGTATCTAGGTATGACGTTGAAGTTTCGAATCCCGGAGTAGTGGCAATTATATCGAGCAGTGATGTAGAGGTTTCCGGATTTTCTGTCGAGGTTTCTACTGATTCAGTTGCAATCTGATCATCTGAATATATTGAAGTGGTTTCCGGAGATTCTGTACTGATATCTGACGACTCTGAAGTTGATTCCGGCAAAACTAGACTGCTTGTTGAAAAGAAATTTCCAATGATAGTCGTTGATTCTGGAAATGGTGTACTACTTGAAACGGTTTCCGTAGTAGACTCTAATAATTTCGTACTGAAAAACTCGGGACCTGCTGTCGATGTCGGAATTTCAGTACTGCTTGGATTTGTCACCGTAGAAAAATCTGAAATTTCGGTACTGGTTAACTCGGGCCTCGTTGTCGTTGTAGAATCTTCATAAATTGTTTTAGATTCAGTACTGGTGAATTCCAGCCATGATGTTGTAGTGGAATCCAAAAAACTTGTGCTTGTTTCGGGCGGCCCTGAACTTCTTAAAACCGATTCTGTAGTTGAAAAATCAACTTCATATGTCGCCGTACTCTCAGTGAAGATTTCTGTAAGAAAATCAGTGCTGGTTGTGGTGGATATTTCTTCAGTGGAATAATAAGTTGTCTGATCCGGTGATGCTGTTGATTCGGAGATTGCTTTTGCTGTGGTTGTCTCCCATAAATCTCCACCAAATGGTTTGGTATAATTTACAACTCTCGGCTTGTACGGTTCGTAGGTTTTTACTTTTAACGGCTTGTGATTTAATATATATTCCTTGGCTATGTTAATCCATTCGTCACGATCCAGAATTTCATTTAATTTTCTACTTGAGGCCACAAGTTGGGCCATCAAAAGGAGCAAACACAATTTCTTCATAATGATGCTGATGCTTGGAGTTGACATTCCTTACTAATTACTTTCGCTAATAGCGATGCAATATAAGCCCAGGCTGTCTACCTAGACTTATTCACTTTGCTACTACCTGGCTGCTGGGAAAAGGTTAATTACGCCTAATGATTTGGGAAATTTAAAATTTTGCCGCCAGGGCTGCAAGCGGCCATTTATTTTTATGCTGGCAATGCTGTAAAAAATGCCGGCATTTAAACAGATGTTTTCGTTTTTGCGGTAAGAAGAAGAAAAGCGTGTTTGCAATCCGCGTTTTTGTGTAAAAATTGTAAAAATTAAATTTTTTCGTGTTTTCTTCAATTTTTGATAAATAAATAGTAATTAGAAGGTGTTCATACCCTTGGTGAGTTATTGGAAATATACAAAAATATGCAGGGTGTACTTAACTGGAGCAATATAAATAGTTTACCACACCGCTGGCACTTCTTGAATGAAATAAATAAAAATGTATTTATTTAAGCTAATATCATGGATTCCGATTTATACGATGAGTTTGGCAACTATATTGGCCCCGATTTAGACAGCGATGAAGATGATGACCAGAGTATTTACGGCCAACCCGATGTGCAGGATGATCCCGAGGTATATGTAGGGAAAATAACTAATGAAAAGCATATGTAACAAATCGCATTCATTTAAAGGATCCCATGGACGAGGATGAAGTGGAGCCGCAGGAAGACGAAGACAAGGAGGTGACCGCCGTGGTTCTGCACGAGGATAAACGCTATTATCCTTCAGCCGTTGAGGTTTACGGGCCGGATGTGGAAACCATTGTGCAGGAGGAGGACGCCCAGCCGCTGGACAAGCCGCTCATCGAGCCGGTAAAGAAACTCAAGTTCCAGATCAAGGAACAGGACATGCAGGAGACCACCTACGACATGGAGTTCATGGCTGATCTAATGGACACACCGCCGTTGATTCGCAACGTGGCTTTAGTTGGCCACCTGCATCACGGCAAGACCACCTTCGTCGACTGCCTTATCCGGCAGACTCATCCGCAGTTCGAGAACATGGAGGAGCGCCAGTTGCGCTACACGGATACTCTATTCACGGAGCAGGAGCGCGGCTGCAGCATCAAGGCCACGCCAGTGACTTTGGTCCTGCAAGATGTCAAGCAGAAGAGCTATCTACTTAACATCTTCGACACCCCGGGGCATGTGAACTTTTCGGACGAGGCCACCGCTGCAATGCGAATGTGCGACGGAGTGGTTCTGTTCATCGATGCTGCCGAAGGCGTCATGCTGAACACGGAGCGACTGCTTAAACACGCGGTGCAGGAGCGCCAGGCCATCACCGTGTGCATCAACAAGGTGGCTTATGGTTTAAGTGACTGCTTTACAATTACTAATGTTTCTCTTGAATACGTAGATTGATCGGCTTATCCTGGAGCTGAAACTGCCGCCCCAGGATGCCTACTTCAAGCTCAAACACATTGTGGAGGAGGTCAATGGACTGCTGAGGTGAGCAAATATTTCGCTTAAAGAAAATTTATTTTTGATTTGGTTTGTAAGTGTACCTTACTAATTTATGCTTTAACTTCAGCACCTACGGAGCTGCAGATGATAATTTGCTAGTGTCGCCCATACTGGGCAACGTATGCTTTGCCAGTTCGTTGTACGGCTTTTGTTTTACCCTGAAATCCTTTGCCAAGCTCTATGCAGACACATATGAAGGAGTGGCCTACCTTGACTTTGCCAAGCGCCTCTGGGGCGACATGTACTTTAATAGCAAAACGTAAGTGCATCTACAAAATTTCATAATTGTCTCTTAATATTAACCCATTTATAAAAAGGCGTAAATTCTCGAAGAAGCAGCCGCATAATTCGGCACAGCGCAGCTTTGTGGAATTCATCCTGGAGCCCATGTATAAACTTATCGCCCAGGTGGTGGGCGATGTGGACACCACTTTATCGGATACCCTAGCCGAGCTGAATGTGCGGGTTTCCAAGGAGGAGATGAAGTCCAATATACGACCTCTGCTGCGACTCGTGTGCAACCGTTTCATGGGCGATTGCAGCGGATTTGTGGACATGTGCGTGGAGCACATTAAATCTCCTTTGGAAAACGCCAAGCGAAAGGTGGATCATATTTACACTGGACCAAAAGAGGGTGACATCTATCGGGATATGATATCGTGCAATCAGTACGGCACTTTGATGGTGCACAGCTCCAAGATGTATCCCAACGATGACTGTACCTTCTTCCAAGTGCTGGCGAGGATCGTATCGGGTACCCTGCATGCTGGTCAGGAGGTGCGTGTCCTTGGAGAAAACTACACTCTGCAGGACGAGGAGGATTCTCGCATACTGCAAGTGGGTCGGCTCTGGGTTTTCGAATCTCGCTATAAAGTAGAGCTTAATCGAGTTCCTGCCGGAAATTGGGTTCTTATTGAAGGCATCGATCAGTGCATCGTCAAGACCTCCAGCATTGTGGATATTAATGTTCCGGAGGACCTTTACATATTCAGGCCACTCAAATTTAACACCCAGAGCATTATTAAGATTGCTGTAGAGCCTGTGAATCCTTCCGAGCTGCCCAAGATGTTGGACGGTCTGCGCAAGGTCAACAAATCGTATCCACTTCTCTCAACGCGAGTCGAAGAATCGGGTGAGCATGTTATCTTAGGCACTGGCGAGCTGTACTTGGACTGTGTGATGCACGACCTGCGTAAGATGTACTCGGAGATTGACATAAAAGTGGCGGATCCTGTGGTGGCCTTCTGCGAAACAGTTGTGGAAACTAGTTCGCTAAAATGTTTTGCCGAAACCCCGAACAAAAAGAACAAAATAACCATGATATCGGAGCCACTAGAAAAGGGATTAGCCGAGGACATTGAAAACGGAACTGTTTGCATAAACTGGAACAAGAAACGTATTGGAGAGTTCTTCCAGGTTAACTATGATTGGGATTTGCTGGCGGCACGTTCCATTTGGGCCTTCGGTCCCGACTCAACGGGCCCGAATATCCTTGTGGACGACACCCTGCCTTCGGAAGTGGACAAGAACTTGTTGACAGCGGTAAAGGATTCGATTGTGCAGGGCTTCCAGTGGGGCACGCGGGAAGGCCCATTGTGCGAAGAGCCCATCCGAAATGTTAAGTTTAAGATACTCGATGGAGTCATCGCCAATGAGGCGTTGCATCGCGGTGGCGGCCAGATTATTCCCACAGCTCGAAGAGTGGCTTACTCTGCATTTCTGATGGCCACGCCGCGTCTTATGGAACCTTATTTGTTTGTGGAGGTCCAGGCGCCGGCGGATTGCGTGTCTGCCGTTTACACTGTCCTAGCCAGACGCAGGTGAGTTTTGTAAACTGCTTTCCTTGGGGATTAGTTTTTATATTATCAGCCCTTTTACAGAGGACATGTAACGCAAGATGCTCCCGTTTCCGGGTCCCCCATCTATACGATCAAAGCCTTCATACCCGCCATCGATTCATTTGGATTCGAGACAGATCTGCGCACTCACACTCAGGGTCAGGCCTTCTGTCTGTCGGTGTTCCATCACTGGCAAATCGTGCCTGGCGATCCCCTGGACAAGAGCATCATTATCCGTCCGCTAGAGCCGCAGCAGGCGTCGCACCTGGCGCGAGAGTTTATGATCAAGACGCGCCGCAGGAAGGGTCTCTCAGAGGATGTTTCCATCAACAAGTTCTTCGACGATCCCATGTTGCTGGAATTGGCGCGCCAGGATGTGCTGGTCAATTATCCCCTTTAGGCTCCGTATTGCAAATAAAACCAATAAAACTCTTAGACTTTCGGGATTTAAATTTCGAACTTTAAAGGAAGACTTTTTTTTTACTATATTTACTAATTATTTATTTGAAGCCTGTAAGGGCCAAATAATTTACAAAATAGTATACAGAAAACAGCTACAAAGTGTTAGTCTCTAGGTTCTTACTCGGCATTGCCGTTCTGCAGAACCTCCGACTCGTAACCATCTTGCTCGACATGCTCGTCATCAAACTCCACGTCGTCGTCGGCTGTAGCCTCCTAAAAAGTAGATAAATCGAATGAGTGAAAGTAATTTCCTTATATTAATTCGTGTACAATTATTTGGCAGTACATTCCTTCTATTTAAAAAAAAAACAATCTATACCATTGTCAAGGTATCAAAAATTGTAATTTTAATACTGCAACCTGTAATTTTGAAAATGAAGTAGTTTTTTACTCACTTGATACTGCTGGTACTCGGATATCAGATCGTTCATGTTGCTCTCGGCCTCGGTGAACTCCATCTCGTCCATGCCCTCGCCGGTGTACCAGTGGAGGAAGGCCTTGCGCCGGAACATGGCGGTGAACTGCTCGGAGATGCGCTTGAAGATCTCCTGGATGGCCGTCGTGTTGCCGATGAACGTAGAGGACATCTTGAGGCCTCTGGGCGGGATGTCACAGACGGCCACCTTAACGTTGTTGGGTATCCACTCAACGAAGTAGCTGCTGTTCTTGCTCTGCACGTTTAGCATCTGGGTGTCCACCTCCTTCATGGACATTGGACCTGTTAATTATTGAGCGAACCTTTAAAAAAAAGTGCCTTAGGGCGAGCGCCGGAAACTTCTTGAGCGCATTTACATCAAAAGCCAAGTTCGCTTTGATGCGCCAGCGGAATCCCCAAATCCCTGAATATGAAATACTAAACGGTTTCTAAGTCCTGGCTGGCGCACCTTGCCACCTGGCCTGGGATTTCCGCGGATGAGAAACACAAACAGTCCCAGGAGGCAACTAAAAAAGTTGTTTAAATTCCTCGCTGGCATTTTTTTCGCACATTTTTGTGATTAATTATTTTGCAAGTATTTCTGGCAGTCAGTCGGAGACGAAAACGAATCCTGAGATGGAAACGGAGCCAGTGGGTGGGGGACCCACCATGCAGCCCAAGTCACGTTCGGCATGATTAGTTAAGCCAGGGGCCGTGTCAGGCGGCGGTCGTCGCAATTCCCCAATGGATCTTGAAAGTAAATTTCTAATTACGCGCGTTTTGCGAGTCATCAGTCAAAAGCAAGGGCAAAAGCGACGCACACAAGGAATAGCAAATGAAATATTATGCGGCATACATTTGGGCGCCGCATCGCAGTTTATTAATTTAAAAATTAGCGCGAAAAAATGCCCAGGAACCTTTTTTCGGGAGGCGTGGGGGCTAACAAATTTGCGCTACGTGCGCGTTGACGGATTGCAGCCTTTTTAGCCGCCAGCCAGCGGCCATTAATCATTTTTAGTGGCTCCCATAAGTAGGCCCAGTGCTCGGCTTTGGCTAATAAAATCGTCGCCAAAGCCAAGCCCCAGGAGTCCAAGGTGTTAGCCAGGGGCGGATCGGGCAAATATTTAAGGGGGGATATTTTTTTTGTTCCTCAGAGATTTATAAACATTATTTGGACTGTCTAATGCTTTAAAACAAAAAAAAAATCAATAATTAAGTTGTCTAAAATAATTATAGCAGTTGGGCCACACCTCTTCATATTTTTCAGTAAATGAAGATCGTAAGTCTACTTTTTTATAAAAACAAAATAAAAAAAAAAAAAAAGTTTTGTAAAATTTTTGGAAACATGACCATGAATAAGCCTAGGTCGTTTTCAAAAAAAAAGACTAACCTCAATAACATTTTAGGCTAGTTGTAAGATCTTTTGGTTTATTTGGATTTCTGTCATTTTTTCCTATTCCTATTAAATTTTGACCAGTCCTAAGTGAAGAAGAACCCCTTTTGATCAGCCTCTGGTGCAATGAGTACGTGCCTGCGGGTCCGGAAAAACGGCGGACAGGTGCGCCACCGGCTGCCCATGACAAAGTGACAAAGTTGGGCCGGATAAGCCTGAGCGGGGGCTCCTGAATAAATGAGCGGATAGATGAATGGATTCCCTGTGTTTTCTGGCTACGCGTGGAAGTGTTTAGGGCTTGTTGTTAAATAACTATTTTTCTTTTTCCACCCCCGTGGGCTTACTCACCCCGGAAGATGCAGGCCACCGTGAGGTAGCGACCGTGCCTGGGATCGCAGGCGGTCATCATGTTCTTGGCGTCGAACATCTGCTGGGTCAGCTCGGCCACCGTAAGAGCGCGATATTGCTGGGATCCCTTGGCGGTCAGAGGAGCGAATCCGGGCATGAAGAAGTGGAGACGCGGGAAGGGCACCATGTTCACCGCCAGCTTGCGGACATCGGCGTTTAGCTGGCCGGGGAAACGCAGACAGGTGGTTACTCCGGACATTGTGACCTGGTTGCGAGGGGGAAATATTTTATATTTAAAAACTCAATAAATTGTTATTAAGCTATTTAGTTAAACTATATATAAACTATATACAAAGTAAAATGGGTTTGATCAATTTAAAATATTTTCTGATAATATTTTTAAACATTTAAAATAATACAATTACATTAATTTATAAAAAAAACTATCTTAACAAGTCTTAACTTAATAATCTTTAAGATGCCTAGATAATATCATAATATTTAAAAGGTTGAATTAGGTTCATGTAGGTAACGAGTTAAAAGGTTAATTGAAGATCCATTGTTTTTGGTGTTGACATCTGGACATCTGTACATCTTGGTCGCCTTTATTTTGGACTCCACCTACATTTTTGGCTACTTACGGACACCAGGTGGTTGAGATCCTCGTAGGTGGGCGAGCAGAGGCGCAGGCTCTGATAGCAGATGTCATACAAGGCCTCGTTGTCGATGCAGAATGTCAAATCGGTGTTCACAATGAGTTGGTGCAGGGACAACGTGGCGTTATATGGCTCCACCACGACCTCGGACACCTGGCCGGGATTTTCGATGGGATGGGGAGCAGGAAATGGGGGTGGGACAAACAGAGGACGCATTAGATGGATTAACTAGGGGGTACTCACGGAAACCAGATGGTTAAGATCGCCGTAGGTGGGCGACGATAGCTTCAGCGTGCGGAAGCAGATGTCGTAGAGAGCCTCGTTGTCAATGCAGAAGGTCTCGTCCGTATTCTCCACCAGCTGGTGGATGGACAGCGTGGCATTGTACGGTTCCACGACAGTGTCGGACACCTGGACGCATTAAATGTGCGAGTTGGAGCAGCGCAGCGACATGCAGGAGGAGGAGCAGACACAAGTTCGTTAATTAGCAGTGCTATCAGCTATCAGGTTACTTAAAGATTCAAAATGATTGAATGGATCGCTTAGGCTTTAAAGCTGCAAGGCTTCTTAGCAAAATTACTACATGTAAGTGGCCTTGTTTGATGATAGGATATCGTAAATTATTATTTAATTTAATAACAGAAATATATTAAGTACAATATGAACCTCCCTTAAAGTACACCTAATTATTTTAACTTCCCTGCTTCGTGAGTTCTTTACCTCCGTTGACTTTGTAAAATGTTTTATTTATAAAATAATTCGACGGTTTTGGGAAGTCGTTAAACTGTATCCATAAATGGAGTTTACCTTTAAAATTAAACTTAGTAGTTACTCAACAAAAGCATACAATTCTTCCTATTTAAGAGTGTTATTTTGCAATTGGCTTTGAATACCAAGTTCAATTCAACCTGAAGCCTTTTCCTCAGCTGGCCGTATTTGTTCTTGGCAATAATCAACGATTGGTCGCACTTCTCGTCTAATTTCCACTTCTTTGACCCATTCTAATGGTCGGCAGTTGAGTTTTTCATGGACATGAAAAATGCATTCTGCCAACAGGACGCAATTCGAATGCAGTGCTAACTGAATAGCAGACCCTATTAATACAGGCAGTTGTTGTGGCTGCAACCTGCAGTTGCTAATGCCATTTTGAGCCTGGAGCGCACTCAGGCCGAGAGTTGTTGCATAAATGCAGTTGCATGTTGCACAAACATCTGGGTGCCAGCTATACCCCCATTCACATTCGCATTCATACATGCCTGGTGTGTGTTTCGAATGCTGCAAATTGAAAATTATGTATAATCTTTGGCTTGTCCTCTATATTTGCGCAGCCAAGATGCATTGCTCGTCGGTTGTTGAAGGCAGGGGTCTTTTGAGGGGCTTTTCATGAGGGGGAGGAGACCATTGAGCATGCGACAAACTTCACTCCAGCCTCGGTTTGCCGTATGCCAAGTGTGTGCACATAAATTGTGGCAATTATTTAATGGCCCCAGCCCTAAAGCGATAACGTGTTCTCCCACGCACACACTTTAAGTTTCAAAAATAGTTAACCAAAAAAAAAAAAAAAAAAATTAGGGCAGAATACAAGTTATATAGTAAAACTATATATGTATATTCAATGACTAGCTTTGGAATCGCTTTCACTACTACATTTTTAAATATAATTTAAAAGTACTTTAAAAACCTATTACAACTACTCTTTTATTAAAATTTTTTATTAATTTTTAAATATTAATTATCTGATTAGACTTTTAAATGTTGATCTTTATCCTCCAATTATTTGACTACTTTCCACTACAAAAATATTCAAAAAATGTTTTGTTTGTTTCGATTTCTAGTTTTTTTGTGCAATAATATTTAAGTAAATTTTTTTTTCTGTGTACACCCTCACACTTAAAACACACAAAACACACCTTTGCCTGCTTAGGTGGTACATGCAGTTAATACTAATGAGTTATGCTCGGGCATATGCATTTAGCATTTTGTATTTGGTATTTGTTGCCAGCCTCAGTATTTGTACACCGCCAGGACACAATATTTGTCTGCTCAGTGTGTGTTTGTGTGTGTGATTCTGAATCTGGAGGATTTACGAGCATGCATTTTGATATCAATGCTTTGTCCAACAGGCAGGTGCAAATCTCAGATGCTCCATGGCAACCGTCGGGTATATTTCAGTTTGAGTGAGCTTCGAAGCGGCATTTCGTTAATTAATGAACGCAATTAAAAACTTTAATCAAAAGGCTAAAATATTGTAGCATTAAAACAGCGAAGACAGTGTTTTTTTTCGTGCCATCTCCCCTGATTATTCAGATTATTCCGTGTGACTGCGCGCTGCTGCATTTGCATAAATGCCGCTTATCAAAGCGACAAAGGCTTTACATTGCTCGCATCGGCTGATGGGAATGAAAAACTATTAAATTATATACGCGCACATATTAAAACCGCTATAACGTGACAGGCATGTGTCAGGCCAGGCCGCAATAAAATGACCGCCGAAGCCAAAACATTGCGGTAAGCCAAGCAAACCCAGCTCGGCACATAAATAACAGTCGAAAAACAGGGAATATACCGGGGGATATATTGGGGCATTTAAAGTTAAACCCCATTCAGGGGTCGGGGGTCGGGGATCGGGGACTGGTTCAATAGTTGGTCATTGGCGTTCAGCCGTGACGGTAATAAATTTAACGCACTAGCACAGAGCCTGTGGGCCCCACTAAAAATTCCATAAAATTTATTGTGTACTCCGATATGCGAGTAAGAACATTGTCAAATGTTAATTTCATGCCTCACGGACTTTTGTCTCTTCCGGAGTCTTAAAACTTACAATTGCAAATCTCCCAAATTATAAATCTCAATCGGTTTGATATAACTATTTAAGTCTAACCGAAATTTAATCTTTTAGCTATAAATTGGGAAAAATAGACAACTACCTTTTAATCAGATTATCTATATGGGTTTCTTTCTAAAGCAGCTTAAGTCGTTTTTCCCAAAACTAAACTTTTTGCTTTAGTTTCTGCTAATTAAAAGTTCATTCCAGTTGTTCAAAATTTGCATAACAAATAAAGAACAACAAACCAGAACATTTAATCTGTGTGCTATTACATAAATATACAAATCTTTTAAAATAAATAAAATATCTAGCATTGTGCATGTATATTTCCCTCGATTTAAACTGTAGTTTTACAATAAATGGTCTTATAATCAACAACACATCAAATCGGACCTTATATATCGAGTTGATAAATGTAAATGAACTAAATCAAAATATTCCGTTGTAGAATTTTTATAAAATGTAAAACTGGGCAAAATATTGTAATTGTTTGTCCATACTGTGTGGTGGTTGGGGCACCTCCTCGCATTGGCAATTAATTCCGCACTGAATAAATTTAATTAAACTTCAAAATGTAATTAAATGCGAATAATGCAAATGAAGGCGTACCACGTGCCGCTCGCACGCATACTACCTATCTATTAATAATTCTACGTCTACATTTCCGAATGCACGTGTAATATATGCAACTGGGTTAATTAAGCGGCAATTGAGGTGTGTCAAAAAAGGCAGCGAGGTGATATAAACATATAATAAAAAATCCAGACATGCTGGGTGGGCAGAGAGGGTCAATCTTGCGATTGCGAGCCACCAAATTGCATTAAAATTGCATTGCCAATTAGGCTTTCGGCCGCTGGTCGTTGCTAATTTCGCCTGAAAATTAATTAGAATTATTCGGACAAAGCTGGGCCAGCCTGCGCACAAAGCCGCCAATTGAATTTGGCGTATGAATTGCATAAATAAAACAACATTTGTGGCATACTTTGGGCGCACAAATAAACGGGAGCGGCTCCCTGTGGCTTTCGCCTGCTAATTTGGCCAAAACGCGTGCAGGTGTAAAGCGCTTTTGGTTCGGCTTAGGACCGCCACCATGGGTGGTCCTTGTGTCCTGGCGGGTCGGTGATAAAGGAGGAAGCTCGATGTCAACCGTTCAGCGGAGGACACCCTGATTTGATGGCCATTGTGCGCGGCAGTAAGCTGATTTTGCTAAGCGGATTGCATTCGTCATGACCACAATGATGATGATCGGCAGTAGCAGTTAGGAGCGATAGCAGGTGGCCAACATAGACAAGGACTTACCTTTGGCGACGGCACCACGGAGAACGAGAGCATGATGCGATCGGGGTACTCCTCGCGGATCTTCGAGATGAGCAGCGTCCCCAGTCCGGAGCCAGTGCCTCCACCCAGCGAGTGGGCCAGCTGGAAGCCCTGCAGGCAGTCACAGCCCTCGGACTCCTTGCGCAGGACCTCCAGCACGGAGTCGATCAGCTCGGCGCCCTCTGTGTAGTGGCCCTTGGCCCAGTTGTTGCCTACGGAAATAATACGTTTAAAGTTGCATTATTATTTTAATTTTGTGGAAAAAACATATTTATTTATTTTAAATTGTTTAAAGCTAAGATATAGTTATGATATTATTTTTGTTTAAATACTTTAATTACTTTATTAATTTTAAGGAAATAAAAATTGAAATAATAAGCTTAAATAACATTAAATAAGATTTCAATCAGTCTTAATAATGAAATCCAAATCTACTAAATTTTTGGGCCAATAAAAATGCACATAAATAAGATATTTTCTTTATTTCTCAATTAAATTGTGCCATTTTGTGTTCAAATTAAAGCATAGACTGTGTTCTTTGATTATGTGGCATTAAAGCAGCCACATCGGCTGACATGTGAAAAATTAATTTTCATCATTATCCGCAGGGCATTTTATAATTGCAAGCATCATTACCATCAGCATCAACGGCATCGGAGGGGAAAGTGGGCGGAGGGAGGTCATGCCAGCGGCTTTTAGCTGATAAGCTCGCCTGTGATAACAATAACCTCCATCGAGGCCATCTTGTCAATTGGTTGGCACTTATCAAAGCAAGGACGAGGCCGCCTATGTGGCTGCTGTTTTTGTCACGACTGTTGCTTCTGCTTGTGTGGCTCCTGTTTTCGTTGTTGCATCCAGGCCACGCAGCTGCAATAACTGCCCTGGCAGAGGACAATCGCATCATTGATGGAGGATTCCCAGCTTTGGTCGAAACAAAAGCACCCCCGAAAAGCATCAGGAAAACAGAAGCCACGTTCTGGCTCACGAACACGACATTCACCCATTAACGAGTGCAACGGAAATGCATTAGCAAAATGGCAAAAATGTGATTGGTTTCTGCAGAGATATTTTCTTGTCTTCAAAAACACATGATTTCGTTCAGCAGCTCTTGAGGTAGCTATTTTTTCAGGATACAATTATTACTGACTTTAGGCTAGAATTTAATATTGAAGAATTTCTGAATATTTGGAAAAATAAATAATATTAAAATTATAAGTCAAATAAATGTTTAAGACCTACATTTTTTACGTCTAGGCTTTTACAAATTTAAAATCGTAGTTAAAGAAACATTGCCAATAATGGCCGGAATCTATTTATTTAGTCATTCGATTACGCGTTTTCTACAATAAGTCACGATATTTTATACAACAACTAAAATATCAAATAACGATAAAATGTTTAAAAATAGCAGGTAGATATCTTTGAAGTGTCATATCGACATATCAGAGATAAGAGATAGTGCGATATGTCAATCCACCGATTATCTGCAACTGGATTTCAACTCACCGGCTCCCGACTGCCCGTAGACAAAGTTGTCCGGCCGGAAGAGCTGGCCCATCGGCGACTGGCGAACGGAGTCCATGGTGCCCGGCTCAAGGTCGATGAGCACCGCCCGCGGCACGTACTTGCCGCTGCTGGCCTCGTTGTAGTAGACATCGATCCGTTCGTGCTGCAGATCGGACTCGCCGTGGTAATATCCATTGGGATCGATTCCATGCTCATCGGAAATGATTTCCCAGAACTGCAAAAAATAAGGAAAAGCGAAGTGCTACTTTAATGCCGTTTCAATAATGATTTAAGTGTATAATGGAGGCCGGCTGATGTATGCAAATATGCGGTGGTCGCAATGAGCGCATTTGCATATGTGTCCACCGACCGTTTCACATGACGTATGCGTGATATTTCACGACAGCGCCCGTTTGTATGCAATGAAATTTCGCGAAGCTCAGTTGCCTCCTTTTTCTTTTTCAGAAATATTATTTTACAATCAATGTTGTGTGGGTGAGAGGGGTGTGAGGGTATGCGTGCGTGTGTGTTTGTGTTGCATTGCTTTGGCAATCAATGCATATAAATATGAGTGTCCTTTTTACATGGCTCTTGCTTTTATTGCCGCCGCCATCGGAGCCCTCGTATCTGTCGTCGATTTATGCGCGTGCATATGCTGCATGACCCTGCCGCGCCCCCCTGTCCCTGCACCTCTGCCTCCACCCCACCCGCTTCCCCTCCCCCTTTCCCTTCACTCACACACACAAACACAGCGAGCACTTTACATGCCGTGAGCACTTTCTGTTGCATACTTCCATGGGCGCGCAATTTTTTCCTGCCGTGTTATTATACCCTTGCAGAGGGTATTATAATTTTGGTCAAAAGTGTGCAACGCAGTGAAGGAGACATCTCCGACCCTATAAAGTATATATATTCTTGATCAGGATCACCTCCTGAGTTGATATAGCCATGTCCGTCTGTCCGTCTGTCCGTCTGTCCGTCTGTCCGTCTGTCCGTCTGTCTGTCCGTCTGTCTGTCCGTCTGTCTGTTTCTACGCGAACTAGTCTCTCAGTTTTAAAGATATCGAATTGAAACTTTGCACACACCCTTCTTTCCTTTGCACGCAGTATATAAGTCGGAACGGCCGGGATCGGCCGACTATATCCTATAGCTGCCATATAACTGATTGATCGGAAATGCCATAACTCTGCTGTTTGTTAAGTTAGGAAATTGAAATTTTATATGGGTTTTATATTTGGCCAATCAATCCGACCTACCAAATTTCATAAAGATCGGCCGACTATATCCTATAGCTGCCATATAACTGATTGATCGGAAATGCCATAACTTTGGTGTTTGTGAAGTTAGGAAGTTGGGATTTTCTATGGGTGTTATATTTGGCCTATCAATCCGAACTACCAAATTTCATAAGGATCGGCCGACTATATCCTATAGCCACCATATAACTGATTGATCGGAAATGCCACAACTTTGGTTTTTGTTAAGTTAGGAAGTTGGGATTTTCTATGGGTTCTATTTTTAACCAATCAATCCAACCTATCAAATTTCATAAGGATCGGCCGACTATATCCTATAGCTGCCATATAACTGAACGATTGGAAATGCCATAACTTTGGTGTTTTTAAAGTTAGGAAGTTGGGATTTTTTATGAGTATTAAGATTGCATCATATGAATAATTTTGGAGAATATAATTTACAGAATATTCTGCAAGGGTATATCAACTTCGGCTCCGCCCGAAGTTAGCTTTTCTTTCTTGTTTTTTTTTGTTGTTGTGTAACGAGCGGGAATAATTGAATCCTTTTAGGTGTTTTCATACACATATACCTGCGCATATATATATTTTTATACGCATACGTATACCCTCTCTCGATAGCGTTCCTCGATTTTATTTACACAAGAATTTCTCCAGCTCGGTTCGTGTTTGTTTTGTTTTTGGTTTGGCTCTTTATTTTTTATTGCACAATACGCTTGGCAAAACATTTCACGTTTGCTGCGCATATGAATTTCAAATTTTTAAAAATGTTTCAATCGACCCCGCTCTTTTCCGCTTTTCCCGCTCCACACGGCAGGTGAGTGCCTGGGAAAATGGGGGGAAAATGCTAATTGTGAGAAAATCGCAATGTGCGCGCTCGGCCTGCCACGGCTACCATTGATCGAAATGATTTTTAATGGACTTAAAGGCAACGGTGGCAGTGGCAGTGGCAGCCAAGGGCCATGAATTCACTTTTATATATGCGACTCTTTTTTTTTACGTGTTTGTTCCTGCTTGGCTGGTATTACCGAAGGTCGGCGGCAGATTGATTACTGAATATGAATTTTAATTAGTTACACATGGCGGTGAAGATGCGACTTTTCCATTTGACGGGACTCCCTGAGAACGCTATAAACTCAAGTGACTGTCGAGAAAATGGCAGCACAGAGAAAAAATCACATCACCAGAATGGGCCATCATTTCGGTAGTTTTTATATCACATGATAGCTTATCTGTGACATATCGACATGTCATATCCAAATGACAAATATCGATATTCAGCCAGGCGGAATGAAAAGTGCCTTTTGCTTAAATTAAAATTCAATTGCTTTATTTTAACCAATATATTTTGAGTGAGACTTTCAGATTTTGCTTTTTAGTTATTTGTAAGCTATATAAATGCACGAAAAAATAATTTAGTTGTATTAAAATAATATTTTAAGCTATTTAACTTTGTTAAATATTAGTGAAACTAAATATTAAAGGCATTAGTTTTGAATCGGATTAAAAAACTGTTTTTTCTCTGTAAATGGGAAGAGAAGGTCCTGAATAATGCATGGCACCCGGTGTTTATGTCAAGACCGGTTGTCAGACATTCCATCGAGCACTTTGAGGCGCACTCTTCCGAGGATTCCGCGCACACACAACACACCACACTCCACACTCCACACACGCCTGCATTTCGGCCATAAATAGTTAAGTGGCTTGCGTAAAGCGTTGAAGTCTTCGCAACCAGCAACCAGCGAACAAAGGGAAAGCGGTGGTGGAAAGTGTTTTGAGGGCTAGGTGAAAGTTGTAAAAGTTCGAAAAATTTGATAACGGTTGATTGCACACACACAAAGAGCGCCGGCACACACGTCCTTTTTTGTGCCAGCCCCCGAGCGTGTGCTATACTGTTTTTATGCTTTTTTATTTGTGGCATTCAGCTTTTCCGAAGACACCCATGCCATGCTAATCCTAGAGAGCCGCATAAATGTTTGCCCTGGCACTGCGATTGTTTGGCAAAAGTTTTACTCCTCCATTGGCTCTTAGACACGCAACAATGATAACAAGTTGCATGGCCAAAACAGAGACAAGAAAAATCGCTGGCCAACAAAACTTTCCGGCTGGCAGAAAAGTTTGGCCCTCGCATGCTGGCTTTTGCATACATAACAAACTGGAAATATGACACTCAATTGTACGCATCGGTGGGCACTTTTGGCTTGACAATAACTTTGATTTGCATGCGCAACTCTTTGGACAAAACCCCCTCCTCCCCCTCCACCCGATGCTATGCCATGGCACTTGTTGCCTTTGGGGAAATGGAAATTCAAATGTGTTGCCTGCTTTTTAGGAAGCCAATTGCAGATAAGCGCTTTTCTTTTCGACTACTCTCGCTCCGTTTGCCAGCCGTTGGCATTGAGTGAGCAGCATAATTTATTTACAAAAACTTTTCCCAGTCGATCTGCCCATCATCCGCTGGCTCCTGACAAGAGCACCCCGTGTTTGGCAGTTTTTGAAGTGGATAAAGTAGCCTGCGACAGGCCATCAGCTTTCCATTTGTGGAATCGCCCCTGCCAAGTCAAGGAACGCAGGAGAAAAAAAACAATTACGCTGCCTTCATTTGCTTAAAACTTTTTACTGGCTGCGGTCAAATTGCTTAATTACAAAATTGCGTCCATGTGCCAAGAGGGAACCTGGCGAAAGGCACTTGGCCACAAAAAAGCGGCAATGATCAAATTAAAAGTAAACAAAGAGCTGCGTGCGTTGACCAAAGCGGCGCCATTTTGCGGCGCCCGCTTTTTGTTGGCCCCAAAAACCCTTGGTCTCACTTGAAAGAAATCCAAAATTAAAATTCCCAGAGCGTTTGCACAAAAACCGAAACAAAAGTCAAGTGGAAAAGTCGCGATCCAAAGGAAGATGTAAAAAAAAGCGCATAAATTAATTCTGACCAGCTCTTACACAGAGAAGAAAACGTCCTTTTGAATAAAGTTTTATCTTTAAATAGTATCATCAAATGATAATAATGGGTTTTGATTTTCAATCAAATTTAGTTACTTCTTGTTTAGGTAAATATAAAATAGTCCAAGTCATGTGTTGTACTATCATGCGATTACTTTATGTAGTGTAATTATATTCTCCTAGAATACTTTTTAAAATATCTTAATAAATTTATACATGAGTTACAAATCGAATGCCCAATTGATTGCAAATTTAACTCAATTTTTCTGTCTGCATTTCAGCTTTGTGCCCTCGGCTATTCGAGGACATTTTAGCTTGCGTTAGACAAGGATGTGCGTGGCGCAAAGCGACGGAAGTGCATGTCGCACCGGAAGTGAACGAGCGGTGGGCGGTGGGGCGGAAGGCGTGGCAGAGGGTGGCGGATTGCTTGGCAGCTGCGTTTGCATACTAAATTTGATGCCTTAGCTCGCGGCTCACATAAATAATAAACAATTGCAGTAATAAATATTAAATGATGGCCAAGTTTGTCTTAAGGCGCTGAGCTTGACATGCGAAATGATTGCACCGGATTTCGGTTCACTTTTTTTTATCATATTCATGAAAAGTTCTAGTCGAACAGACTATTTGATTTAGTTTAAGGAATTGCCTTTGGCACATTTTTAATGGTATGCATTTTTTTCGTAAAATTTAATTAAGTTGTCAGCAGGACAACAAAAAATTGTAAAATAATTCATTGGTCTAAAGTATTAAATGTTGTCCAATACTATACCACTTATATTAAAATTCAATTATAATAAATAATTAAATATCTATATATTTCAATGTGCCCACATGCAATGCCAGAAGATAAACAAAAAAAATGCATTTCTAATTAACATTCGTGCGTGAAAATCATTAAAAACCCAACCGCATACGCATTAACCCGTATGCCCGACTCCTCGGGCAATTCCTTAACCCACCAACGCCCGCTGAGAGCGGAACAATTTGGAATTGCAATTTAATTTTCGGCCACTGGCATTAAACTAATTATAAAATAATAAAC